TTGATTCGCGGGATGGGTTTTCTGACTTTCACAATCGCTCGCAATCGTTATAGACAAGACAGATTGCAAAAGTGAAATGTAGGCACCGATAGGAGGATGCAAAGTGCGGCAACAGAATCGATTAAATGTAATGCGTGAAATCAAGCTCACATTCGCAGCAACAGAAGAAAAAGCGTGGAAGATGAAAAGCGTAGGTAAAAGCACTTAAAGTAGTAAGATTCTGGTGATTTTTCGCTCCGGATCAGAAGCGGCCAGCGGCGGCTACGGGCTGTTACGGGTTGCTGGCGGCTGCTACGGGCTGCTGGCGGCGGCTGCCGGCGCGGTATGAAGGCACCTTAACTTCAAGCATCCTCTTGACACTTAGTTGCTAGCTCACGTTTTTAGGCCGTGTTGGCGTTTGCAACATTTTGAGAAACTGTCGTTCTACATGATTTTCGTATCACTGGGGAGGTTTGCATTAATGTAATAGAGCAGTCACGGATGAAGGAAGTACCATAACATGAATTTCCTGAAATAAGCGTGACCGTGTTTTGAGCTTGAAGCAGAACATTGATATATGACCTTTATGAATCGAAGTGTCTTTGATTATTTGTTCTAGCATGGACATGGCTTCTGTGTTAGCTTTAGTAGGCAGAAATCTGCATTGAAAGTACAATACCGCTCACAAAATGTGCAAAATTTCCGTGAATATCGCATAATTCCGAAAATTCCGCGAAATTCTTGGAATTTCGCGAAACTTCGCGAACTTTCCAAAATTTCGCGGAATTCCGGGAATTTCGCGGAATTTTCGTTTGCGACATTTATGGAAATTCACATTATGTGAGCGGTATTGTATCTGGCTGATAAACTGATAAATCCGTAATTTTCTCATTTGCTCCTAGCAGATGAACATTAGAAACGGCTTGTGAATGTTTTCATTCAAACCTTCAAGCCTGAAGTGATCTATAAGCTTTTCCACAGTTATGACAATACCATACAGTTATGACAGTGGAATGTGAAAATTTTCGGCGAATTCGGCGATGTCGGCGAATTCGCCAAAATTGCCGAAAAACGCAAAGTCGCCGTAGAGTAGATAGTAGATATGAGGCTGCAGTTTGTTTTATTGGACAGATCTCTAAAATATGATTTTTAGAAAGAAGGTCGTAGAATAACAAGTTTCCAATAAAAGTGCCTAATTGACTGAACTTGGGAAATCTGTCAATAAAGGCGAGTTTGCGCCCTTATATCTCTGCAAGTGGTAGGATTGGGGTAATCACATGTGATCATTAATATGTACTTTTGTTAGCTCTATTTTTCTAGGGGTAGATCATGGCTGTAGCTCCACCGTAGGAGGCGCTATATAAACGATGATGCATATTTTGAATTTTATCTTCGTGGAGAGTAGGGATAACAGGCCATTCTTCAGTTTGAATTCGAGGAGGACACCACATATAATTCGGAGAAAATGCAGGGGCTCCGCCTTTGGGAGCCCATCTATAAACCTTCCCGGACTTTTTTTAAGTTCAGGGTTTCGCAATTTCTCACTTTTCTCCCCCCTCATTTTTTCCCCTCTCTTTATTTCTGCAGCGCGTGTGATAGTTACCCGCGGCCATCTGGACCTGGTTAGGGGGGATGAAAACGGCTAGAAAGGGGGTAAATCGGGCTAGAAAAACGCGATTTTCGCTTGTTTTTCCTTATTTTTCTTTAATTTTTCTTATTTTCTTCAATTTCGATCGTAATGTGTGGTATAAAGTGTACGGAGCTTGCTTGGAGGAGTTTCAGCTGTATAAAAGCACTGGATGAGCTTATTATGGGGTTTTTCGAATTTTTCGCTTAGTTTTGCGATAATTTTACCGATTTCCGAAATTTCGAAACCTCCAGAATATCGATTTTATCGATTTTTGTCAATTTTCGGGATTTCGCAAGCTTCAAAATATCGATTTTAACAATTTTGCCGATTTTTGGGATATCGATTTTTGTCAATTTTCGGGATTTCGAAACCTTCAGATTATTGATTTTATCGATTTTTGTCAAATTGCGAGATTTCACAACCTTGAGAATATCGATTTTGTCGATTTTCGGGGTTTCGCAACCTTTAAAATATCGATTTTATCGATTTTTGTCGATTTTCGGGATCTCACAGCCCTCAGAATACCGATTCTATCACTTTTTGAGGACTTGGTGGTTCACTAATCTCCAAAATATCGATTTTTCGCTTTTTAGCTGTAAATTGTAAGCCCCGCCCACTTATGATATTACTATACGATACCGCTCACAAAATGTGCAAATTTCCGTGAATATCGCGTAATTCCGAAAATTCCGCGAAATTCCTGGAATTTCGCGAAACTTCGCGAACTCTCCGAAATTTCGCGGAATTCCGGCATTTTCGCGGAATTTTCGAAATTTTGCGACATTTATGGAAATTTTGCACATTATGTGAGCGGTATTGTATTTAAGGGCTGAGCTTGCATTATATCCATACTGCTTCAATTTTGTTTTCGAAGGTAACTCATTCTACAGTTTAAATTTAGATGTTTGATTTTAGAATGAGAACCTTGCTTCTGCTTGGTATATGGATTGCTGCATTAGGTGTAAACTCGCAAAAACGAGGACCACATGTTAGAGTCTGTGAGTCATCTATCCGAAGAATGATACATATATGAGCATTTGAAATTAGCTGCCAGGGCAGTGGAGTGTAGTGTTTATTAACAACTTCATCTTGGCATATCAGAATTTAGATTTTTTCTCGAGCGATAGGTGTGCTACATTACCCAAATGAAGCGCGCTTTGCTTCATCTATTTGGGTAATGCTATAGGCTTCTAGCAAAGATCAGGAGAGGAGGAGCTTCGTTTGAAAAATAGCTCCTTGAACAAGTACGTGGAGAACGGATTTATATAAGAATCAGAGTTGGAGCCTCGGAGTGGCACAAGAGTGGCATGTACCATCCTTGGAAAATTCAACCATTTTTTATTCACATAAGGCTTTCGTATAGCTACATATTTTGACCCTCGCCCATATAGCATCCTATATCACTATCAACTTAATTATCACGCAATTCAAACAAATTATTTCCCCACCAGTCAATGGCAGAATAATTTTTGGGTAGATTGCCATGCTCTTAACTTTGGTTTTTCGGAATTCGCTCTTATTAACTCTTTTGCAAATACTTAGAATCTTCTCCACATTTTGCACATTTTCTCTATCGGTTTCCCAAGAAGGCTCCCAGCTTGCCATTTGCTACTTCATGTGCCCTGCTAGCGTCTATGAGTTGCTGAGTTCCATAGTATTTGTGGTCGATCTGAAAATATCCTTACTATCAATGCAGTGAATAAGTGAGCTTTGAGCGCACACGCTATGAAACAATTGAGCGTCTACGTGGCTGGTTAGTATCCGCATAAGGAGTACAGATACTCTTAATTCTAAACCAAGAATGCTGTACCCGATCAGATACTGGGGGATGGCCAAGGGAAGGAAGATGTCAGTCGTAGATCTTGCACACATCTACCGAGACTTCGATCGCCGCGCAATTTGCACGGTGCTAGATGTCTTCAAATTTACTAAGTTTCTCATATTTGAGCATAACTTTCAAAGATGATACAAATGCGCGTTGTTCCGTCTATACCTCATATTACAATCCCGGCAAATCACAAAGAATCAGCTCAGATGCTCGGTTTCGCTCGCCCCCTGTCACTACCATAATAGAACTCACCATTCCGTCCATTTCACACGAAGTCTTCTTTCTCTGTCCCTTTTATGGGCTAGTTCTTCAATCTCAGTGATTCATAGTCAGCATGCACCTAACACACCAAGCCTCAGCTCTCCAGGCCACAGTTTGAGAAATCAATAAAATTAAAAGCAATGCATAACGCTGAAGATGGATATTGTGTTCGTGCTCAGCATACTTTAAATCCACTTTATAATCGCGCAATATGCCCAAGACCGAACTCAGATCTGCATATCAAAACTGTAAAATGTTTAATCGTGTTGGGTACACTGTCACTTGGTTCGACTCCCACTGAGTACAAGGTTGTCTACAGAGACTTAGCAACACAAGGACAAAAATACACGTCGCATTCAATAAGTCCTGCTTTAAAAACATCTCGTTTTTTGTATTCTTCGACTGGAAATAAGCAGAACAATAACAGAGTTTTTGCGTTAATTATGCTCTCCACTTTCATCTAGAACACAGTAAAGTAGCTTTTTAATTCTGCGAGGATCATCATGCTATTAGAATTCAAATTCGGTTCAATACAAAAAGCTGTTAACATTAAGCTCATGCCGAAACGAAGCTTCGTACGAGGTGGTTTTTCGCAGATGAAAACACGAATGCACAGCGCTTTGAGGACTTTTGCTTTCCAAAAATTGCCAAATGTCTGGTATACCGTATATACCGTTCGTCACACACTATATAGTTTTGCCTGATAGGTTTACATAATCAGGTGCACGTATGTCCAAAACTCCTTCAAAATTTGACTTCTAGGTGGCGTTGTAACCAAAAGACCTGAAGAAGGTATAGTAGACGTCATCCGTCTAGTCACCTCGGTGCGATGTGTGTTACCGCAGACAATTTTGAAATTCCGGATGAAATGCGAGGTTCCCGCCATGCCGTACTTGCACCAGGTGCACGTACGGCTGAAATCCGACGCCAAATTCTGCCCATTTTCTTATTTTGGTGTTATTTTTTTGTTAGCTGCACGCGCGTCTAGTTCTCGATGATTTGTAACCTTTATACCGTGCATTGCTGTTTTAGATCGCACACTTCAAAAATTTTCACTTCTGCTTTCACGTAAGGGAGGCAAATGAGCAATCTTGCAGGATTTCAAGGTAAGTGTGCTTTCTTCAGTATTGTCGGATGTAGAAAGAGTAGAGTGTCTCTTAGGCAATGCGAGTTTCAACTTCCTTCTGACTGATATCGAAAATTTTGTTTTTTTTTGTGCCGAATATTCAATGAGAAGCTATTTCCAAACACAGGATTGCATCATGCAGAATTTTTAACTGTTGAAGCGTGTTTGAGGACTGCATGGATCTTATTCAGCATCGCAAGGATATTTGGATGGATGGTAAGTTAAGTGCGAATCCCCTTCTTTGTTCCTTTGATATGTTCTGTTCGCTCGTCTCCTCGGTTGTCTGCCTGTAGTATGTTTGATCGGCTCCCAAATCTTTGTGGAGGCGGGTCGTGAACCTTTCCTGATTTCAAGGATAAACTTGTTGGAACTCCACGTCATAGCATTGTTTTTCGTATGTACTTTCTCGCCATCAAAAACCGCTACGCTTCGAGTTGACAAAAACCCGCCTCTACACGAATCGTGGAGTCGATGATACAGGGACTTTCAACCTGAGTGTCATGGCCGGCGCCGCTCTTGAGCCGCCTCACGCTTTCTCGTCGCGTTCACTCTCAGCAGATACGGTGAGGGCCAACGACAACAATATACTGCAGGCCCACGATAAAAAAACGGCAGCAACAACAAAGCAAATGACTACAACCACACTCATGCGATGCGACGACAAAGTCTCGCCGACTGTGACACTCAGGTTGAAAGCTCTGTACAATTAGAATTCGTAGCTGCGACTGCGAGCTGGTTTGGCCGGAAACGCTATGGCGAAAGAAGAGGGAACAAGGAAAGATATAATACAAGAAACTGAATGTGATAGCAAAAGAATCGAGAAGGTACGAGCAAAACAGGAGAAGACATAAACGAACGTAAAATACTCAACTTACTGTCATCTAGCGTCTCTGCAAAACTACTATCGAATTCGGAAAAAGCTTCTCGTTGAAAATTCGGCACAAAAAACAAAATTTTCGATATCATTCAGACGAAAGTTGAAACTCGCATTGCTTAAGAGACACTCTACTCTTTCTACATCCGACAATACTGAAGAAAGCACACTTACCTTAAAATCCTGCAAGATTGCTCATTTGCCTCCCTTACCTGAAAACAAAAGTGAAAAATTTGGAAATGTGCGATCTAAAACAGCAATGCACGGTATAAAGGTTACAAATCATCGAGAACTAGACGCGCGTGCAGCTAAAACAAAAAGAAATAACACCAAAGTAAGAAAATGGGCAGAATTTGGCGTCGAATTTCAGCCGTACGTGCACCTGGTGCAAGTACGGCACGGCGCAAACCTCGCACCTCATCCGAAATTTCAAAATTGTGTGCAGTAGCACACATTGCACCGCTCATGCTACAAGAGGTACCGGTCTCAGGTTTGAAATTTGGGTCTTGATTGGTGTTAGTGAAAACACGTGCTTAAATCTACACATGGCTGCGCAGAGCGCGCCCCATGATCCAGTACAAATTCAGCCGGCGCGCAGGGAATTGGCGCTGGGGTGCGCTATATTATTGGGACTTGGCGTTTTCATCACGCACACTACTCCATTCTTGACAAGGTGCTTTACTATTCTATCTCTATTTGTTTTCATCACGCGCTCACTACTCTATTTATGATAGAATGCTTTACCTTTTCATTTGCGTCGGTGTTTTCATCACGCTCACTACTCTATACTTGATAGAATGCTTTGCTCTTGCGTCCGCAGCTATTGTCCTCTGTGCCAACGGTTTGTAAAAATTTTTTCGCAGGTTTGTTGCAAGCACGGGCGGTATGGCGATTGATTGACGCGAAATGTTCACAGGCAACATCGATGTGGTCTTTTTGTTGCCACGGCCGGGAGTTTTCTGTCGAACTACTGATTTCTGATCAGTTGTATTGAAGACTGGAGAAGCGGGTACATCAAGTAAGTTGCTTGACTAGAATTTTCCTATTCGGTGCCGTTTTAGTACTAGCTAGCTACTTTAGCGGTCACACATATATGTTGTTTGTTTTCTACACACTTTGCATCGAAAATTTTGCCTATCAAGTCGGTGTTTTGGAGGGAGATACAACATTTTCAGGGTCGCTTGTTTGGAAACAAGCCCAGGAAGACCTACTCTGTCCAGAACCAAATCGAAGTGAACGCAGCTCTCGTGAAGGTGAGTGTTTCATGGTAAATGCTTACTGTACGGAGAGTGGGATCAACTTAACCACTCACTGCTTCATAGAGTAAGCCTTGAAGATTCTATAGTGAAAGTATCCGCAATTCCAGTGCAGGTGTTCTTCTCTTTCTCTCTTAATCCTGGCGTTTCTGAAGTGATCAGCTTATTTCGATTGTTTCGCAAAGATGTGCTTGCAAAATTTCACCTAAGCCAAGGTATGCCTATCAGATAGAACCAGTCTGCTGTGTATATAGAACATTACTTTAGATGAAAAGGATTTCAAAGCGAGCCAAGCTGATTACAATTTCGGTGAGGTACCTGTAACTTGTACATATTGCTTCTTGGCGGGTCTATACTAGGCAATATCGTTTTCGTGGAACTTCTGTCGTATCTTTTTTTGTGCCATAAAGTATTTCTTCATGCCGACCTTGTTCTTGTAACAAACGTGCTTCAAGGATCTGTTTCTGTTGTATCTTGATTTTTGAGGAGTTATATCATACAAGTGTTAACATGTCGTCTGCAGATGTGATAAACAAATTCATCATTTACTTCCTTTTTCCTCATGATTTTTTAATGCAAACATGAGAAACGGACAGGAACACCGGTCATAGTAATTTAGTACAGAACAAGGAGTAATTGAGCTGGCTTTTGAGACAAAGGCAAAGGTATTATATGGAGTTTGATTGACCGAATGGAGTTAATGATAAGTCGAGCAGAAAAACATTAAATTCTAGGGCTTTCGCCAAACTAATTGTTTCCTATCGAAAGTGAATGAGCTCTCCTATTTTCTACCGGTCACAATGACAACTTTACCATGGAACGTGGCATGTTAGAGTAAAAATGCAATGAGTTACATTGGGTTTTGAACGATGTATATATAGATATAGCGAGGACTAAGCTAAGCAAGGCATATAGTGTCCGTTTATGCTATATATCCGTTCAAAACACAATTCCGATAGGCTAAGGGCCGCATGCACTAACATCCCTGCGGCGAGGGGAGCGGCGTCCCCAATGATGAAAAGCCGCAGCGGCGTCCGCACGCGGTCCCTTCATAACGGGGGACGCCGCTCCCCTCGCCGCAGAAATGTTAGTGCATACGGGCCTAAATCTCCATTGCAATAGGTGAGAGCTAGTAGAAGGCGGCGCCGAACAAATTCTCGGAACTGGCATGCATGTTATTACAAGTAACTTACTTAATTGTAACCTCATGATCAGTTTTATAATACAGTAGTTAGTAGTATGACAAAAAACTCCACGCTTGACGACAAACAGATCATTTACAAAATTAGTGCTGCAAGATTACCAAATCCATCAACCGTCATACAGCTTGCAACAAACCTACAAAAAGGTTGTTTAAACGCTTGGCGAAGAGATAGCTACGGACGCAGATAGAAGAGTAAAGCATTCTATCAAGAATAGAGTAGTGAGCGCGTGATGAAAACAAATAGAGATAGAATAGTAAAGCACTTTGTCAAGAACGGAGTAGTGAGCGTGATGAAAACGCCAAGTCCCAATACTATAGCGCACCCCAGCGCCAATTCCCTGCGCGCCGGCTAAATTTGTACTGGGTGGGTGTATGTCGTTAGGCGCGCAAATTCTTGCGGCGGCCGCGTCAGGGCGCGTTGCGGTCGCCGCGGCTGTTCAAATTTCGCCCGTTGACTCGTCCAACTCTGCCGTCTGCACTCTGCCGTCTGCCGCGAAATGCGTCAATTGTGGCGGGCAATTCAAATGTCGGCGTCACTGTCGGAAACCGTTGAAACTGCTGTTCCGAATGACCGTCCCAGTCTTGTTCTTTTCCAACTCTCCTTTTCAATACACTTTATAATTTTCGTGGAAGTGCTTTTGATTTCAGAGAAGCTGAATTCGAAATTCGATTACCAATTGTTTTTCTCTTTCATTCATTCTGGATTTTTCCACTGCAGTGCCTTTGCAGGTAAGGGTGTTGAAGGTCTCAAAGGCCCTGACAACGGATGTATTTGCTATGTTCTCAGGACTAGATTCAACACCAGTCAGGGAAAGCTCCTCAGGTTTGCTGCTGTTTAACCTAGCATCATTTATCTCTTACCTTGATCTCTCAACATAGGACTATAATGTTTGGTGTCAAAAGAGTACCGCCAATAATTTGAAAATCGTTTGCTTCATGTTGGTTTTACTCATATTCGTTGCTGCTGCTGCATACTTGTGGATAGTAGGTCTGTGAATTTCTTTTCGTATGCTCAACAACCTGAATCCTTTCGTTTGATTGAAGGTAGCCGAGATGAGACATGTAATAAGTACAAGCTTTTCTTGGAATGTACCCTCATTCTCACCAGTGCCATCTCTCCGGAATTGCCTATTGAGCTTTCGCTTGCCGTTAATACATCTCTGATCGTTTTGCAAAAATTGGGTGAGTCAAAACACTGCCATTACAAACACTGCCATTGGTAAAATTGATATATGTTGTTTTGATAACACTGGAACTCTCACCACCGACAACCTTGTCGTTGAAGGGATTGCTTTTAGGTGTGATTCACTTAGAGCATGGTGTGAGCGTGATATAATCGTAATTTAGTATCGATGAAGAGAAAGGACTCGTAAAAAGTGTCTCCGATGTCCCTCTGGAATCTATACAGGTTGGTTTCCGCATTATGAACAGATTAAGATTGAGGTGGTTAGTGTATGCTTTGTATTAGCAGTCCATTTTTGGAACTGATAATCTTCCGTCGATGAATGCTTTCAACCCGTCAACGCTGGGAAGATTCATATCAGTGTTTAGGTACGTTATATTTCAGAAGAATTGAGATTCTCTTGATTGATGTGAATTCAGCCATTTACCATGGCGGCTCTTATGATGTTTAACTGCTCATACCACTTTTGATGGTGTCGCGTTGTTCTCAGCAGCGCTTTGATTCAATAAGGAAGCTATTCAGCGATTGTCTTGTCTAGTGATAATCATAACGGATCTCATGGCTAGGGTTAGTTGATTTTGAAAACTTCCCTCTCTGTATAGTTTTCGAAAATTATCTAAATATTTTATGAGGTTTTTCTAGCTACATTTTTTCTCAGCCTAATCTCTTGTGGCCTCTTTGTAACAAACACGCTAAGAAGATGCCATGAGCCAACTAAAAAGCGGTTCAGAAAAGTTTTATCGACCTTTTGCTCATGCAACAATTACTCGCCTCTGTCACCCCGATAATAAAATATATATGAGTTTCATTTTAATACAAATACTTTTCAATAGTAAAACTCAAGAGAAAAGTAATGTTTTTAGTGCTTTTTCGATCAACTCAAGGACGATGACAGTTGGCTGGACATCGGCGTAAGTATATCGCAGTATCTTACTCAGTGTGTTTATCAATTGGTGTATTGTCATTATTGCTTTGTGCTAGTCATCTCATGACAACTTCGATTACGTGGATAGATACAAAATCTCAAATCTGGATTAACAATTAATGCCAAAGACGAGTGCCTGCCTTGAATGCTTTCTCTTATTTTATGCACTTATCTAGTCGTTGTCTTTCCATCCGCATCATTTGTGATCATTTATCATTCATTGTTGCTTATAGATCTGTTACTTTATTAAATAATAAATATATTGAATTACAAAGTCCCATGCAGTCAACATAAACCATTCAAGCATAAACAAATGATATCAAGTGAAACAATAAATGAGTGACTGCAATATGGTATCACACATTGAAAAGTAAAGTTCTTCACAGACGACTCCTGTCCGAATTGTACAACACACTGGAGAACAGAGTTGTGAGAGTGAGCAAATAGCTAACAAAATGTCGTAAACCTGAAGAAACTATTTTGCCAAAAGAACAGGATCTGATTACTGTGCATTACCTATATAGTTTCTTCCAAGCGAGAGTCTAGTACAACAAGCAGCTCCGCTGTTTGTTGAATACAGCGTTTGAAAAAACGAGTAATTCTCACTTCTTTGCCGGTTGATGTTATGACAGGAGTAGAGGAGATCTCGTTAAGTTCGCTAATGTTCACTTGTTGGAACGAATGAAAGGCAGCCGCGTTAATGGTACCTATGAGAACAATTCTGGGGATGCACCATATGTCGCATGAACTCAAAGTAGACAAATAGTGATTGCTTCCAAAATAAAGAACTTCATTTCGTGGATAAAGTTTGCCCAACCAAACACCTGTCCCGGGGTGTTATTGATAGAGAAGCATAATTCGTAGCAAATACGCGCACGTGAGGCCTTTAAGGGCATGACTAAAAACTGAGAAACACTCGAATATTAACTATGACTTAGCTGTCAAAGGGAGAGAACGATAAAAAAAGCGATTCAACATATTATACAGAACTCACATCATAGACGATGACTTTCTTTACAGCACCATAATTCGAACTACTTTGTTGGACTTCTTCCTTCAAATCCAGCACCAACGCAGCATTTTTCTGTCAGAAAAAGATGTAGACTGCGCGGAAATACTCAAACGGACTCACCTCCATCATTTTTAAGGTCATTAAATTCTTGATGACAACAGAGCAGTCTGAGATAGATAGTTACGAAACTTCTCTGGTTTCCATTCGAAAATCCTATAACAGATACTAGTCTCACTGATCGACTAGAAGGAAGAACAACAGAAGCGAAAAGCATCCATATACTAAAAGCACTTGCCTGTTCTAGTCTTCCATGTATCTTTTCTTCTGCGCATTTGTGAGCTTCTTCCTTTTCTTGCTTGGATCGAATTCTCCCTTCAATTGGAATGTGGCTTTTTCTACGTGGACTTCTTTGCCAAGTAGGTTGAATCCATCCAGAATAGGTAGCGCCAAATCGACTGACTCCTGCAAATCCAAGAGAAATGTGAAAGAATGGAATGTTCCGCATGACACCCCTTTAAAATTTTGCACACTGGATGCAGCCTCAGATGCCGATGTGCCCACTTTCCCGTACTTCTCGGAGAAAATGTGCATCTAAGCGAGGAAGAAAGTGCAAATTTGAGAGAGAGGAGCGACCTTCAAGCGATTCCATTCCAAACTATGAGTGCTAGTGACGCAGAGGATCACATTGCGCGCCAGCAGGGCCGACTTGACGCGCAATGTGTGGCGGCAGCGCAGGACGAGTATACAGGCCGAAATTTGAACGGCCGCGGCGACCGCAACGCGTCCTGACGCGGCCGCCGCAAGAATTTGCGCGCCTAACGACCGTCTCCCGTACTGGGTCATGGGGCGCGCTCTGCGCAGCCATGTGTAGATTTAAGTACGTGTTTAGTGAAATCTTTTAGATACTACAGCAGTGCATGAATTGAGCTGATCCCTCATTTCAGAGTAAATTGAATGGAGGAAAAAAAATCAGAAATAGGGTTACCAAAATCCCTCCTTGTCGCATTGAACAAAAGTTTGCTACCCACAGGTTCGATCACGAATCATATGGAATCATCCCGTTGTTGTTGAAGGTGAGACCATTTTTTGCGTATCTCTTCACGCATCCTGAAGCGTTCTAGGCTTTTTGACAAAGAACACGGTGACTTCCTACAATTGTAGAGTCACTTCGCACTACAAAACTTGGACACCACCCTACAATTTTAGTAACGTATGCGAACAAGAGGCTCAACCAGATCCAGTAAAACTACCCTCAGCACCCAAAACACCACCATCACAACCAGATGGTGCCGAGCAAAAGAAAGAGGGAGCTGCAGCACCACCATCAAGACCAGGTGATGCACCGCAGAAGGAAGCTGAAGTTGCTGCACCACCATCAAAACCAGGTAGTGAATCGCAAAAGAATGGAAAAGTTGCAGTACCGCTACCAGTACTAGATAGTGCACCGCAAAAAAAATGAGAAGCTTGCAGCACCTGAGAAACCAGAAGAGCCTCACTCACTAGCAGCCGATCCAGAAGAAAAGGATGGAGTATCGCAGTCGAATAGTCCACCTGAATCACCAGATGGTACGTCTCCACAGCAACCAGTTAATGCATCAGCACAGGGACCAGAACATGCGGATCAAAAGCCATCAGATGTTGCAAATTCTCCGGAATCACACCACGCAGGATCTGATTCCCAACCACCTGCCGAAGGACATAAGTCGGACCCGGAGCTCCAGAATCTTTGGAACAAGTTGAAGAAGCTTCATAACTTTCTTGTTGACAATGCCCAAATAAATGGTTAATTCACACAGTTTTTTTCTAATTTAAAGTGTCAAATTTTCAATTTCCGTGGAGAACTACATGTTTATCAAACTCATTAAACAGCTAGATTTCTTGCTCAGTGCTTCATATTATCAAGCTAAAACGGTCGGGCCTTAAAAAGATTTGTTCTTGCTCAGTGCTTCATATTATCAAGCTAAAACGGTCGGGCCTTAAAAAGATTTGCAATCAAAAACCTGTATCATTGAGTTTTGAAATCATCTTGAGAATGTCAAAGAAGTGTCTACGGGTCAAGGAGCAAATCGTCTTAAAGGCAGCTTCCGCAAAATTTCGAATAGAATCTTTTTCGCTTACCTGGGCTTATTCCTCCCGCTGATTCTGAAAATGCAGCTTGGAGGGCACGAAAACGCCGAAAACGGGCTTTTCCAGAAGCTCTTGATTTGAATTTTGTCGCCTGCCGCCAACGTTAAGACGCAGTCTTTGTGGGTCCCTACGTTTTGACTGTGTGCGGTATGCGCACTCTGACTTATCGAACTAACTCGTGCCGGTCGCCGGGACGTTCCGGTCGCTCTGAAGCGGATTTCTCGCTTCAGAAGCAAATTGGTGCATGGCCAGTCGGGCAAGGGCCTCACCAGGCCGGACGCCCCTGTACTCTAAATTTTTCGTATCTGACCGGACGCTGCCTTTATGATTGCTCGATCAAAAAAATAAACTGCGAGAATAGTTAATGACTTGACTTTAGCACAGTATGCTTATCTTCTGTTCTGCAATACCTCAAGTTTTCAGGTTACAGAGGGCAAAAATAACTGCGCACTGTCTTACTTCGTTTTTATCTACAAATGACAACAGATGCGAAGGGTCACTCCTATTTGGAGAAGGATTTTTTTTGTTACAGCGGCTTAATCGGTACTTCGCGTACACAAACCATCTGCTTGCTAACCCTGTAAGAAGGCCCCGAAAGGATGTACGTTTTTTCTGACCGAAAAAAGTTACGCCAGTGTGCGCCAAATTGACCAGACTCTTATGTTTGGTTATAATTCTTTGAATCAGAACTAAATACTCAATAATACTAACAGTACTTTCTCTGCTTCATAAATCTGCGAATAACCGATCGTCTGAAGTCTCTTATCCCAAACTAAAATCTGTCCTCTGGTACTCGGCCACAAGTTACTAAAAGCTTGGACTAGGCTACGTTCAAGATTAGACATTGCATAACCCAAAATCCTGAAGGGACAAAACGTCCTGTCGTTTGATAGCTTTATTTTCAGTTGAAAGATACCATTCTAGAACTAAAGGAAGGTTGAATTATATTGAAGATAGGCTAAGAGCTATGGAGGTTGAAAAACCAGCACACTGAGTCAAACAAGTTTGACATAAGAGCACATTACACATCAAAACATAAAATCTCAGCGTCCTATATCTGAGGTAGCGTAGAATTTAGCTAATCGTATCTGAGCAATTTACATTCCAGATTATTAAAAGTATGACTGTTTACCAACATCAGTCGCTTAAGCTTCTGTACATGTACAACTTCCAGGGGATTGCATTGCGAAGTTCGTTGAAAATTTGTTAATCATGGTCAAGCGTGGGGTGTGGCACGCCACACCCAGGGGTCCTGCCGAAGAGTCAAAAAGAGAAGGAGTTCGCGTAAGATACCGATAATAGCGATAACATAATATTCGTAAACAGTTTACCAGATAATCCCAGCATATGAAATACAAGCATGTGAGATATTAACTTGTCATCGTATACTTATCTCAAATAAAAAGGCCCTATCAGGCATTATGAGTGATATATCCATACAAGTCAAGAAACCTTTGTGGACCACTTTAAACGAATTCCGGAGTTTCTAAATATCGAGCAACTCAAATGGAACGGTCATTACGAACTGAATGAATTTGTTTCAGAAGTGAACTAGCTACCTCTTTTTGCATTCAGTAGGAAATACTACTTTTTTTGCCCACCTCAAAAATCCCGCTTCAAAAAATCGACAAACTGTGGAATCAAAAGGAATATCTCGTTTCTTTCATTTTTCGCTTTCAATGGCTGTGTTTTCACCAGCTATCACTCACAAGTAAGACATCGAAGTGGTCGAAGTGGCCTTTGCAGATAGAATCCATGCCATATTGTAGGGCATAATGTGGTGATTCCAAGTCTGCCTCCTTGTCTGCGGTATGTCTATAGACGAGAAGTTATGGGCGCTTTTTGGAGCAAAACATTGAATGTGCAAAAGGACAAAATTAGCGGTAATACTTTTTCTAGCTCTTCAATGTAGCAGTGATAATCATTAGGGCACTTTATTCAAAGTGTACTCTTGAATAAGAAAAATATCACACCTGATTGCATTATTTGACGGTTAGTCAGATTTTAGCAACTCATTTTATCCAAAATGCACATTCAATTATTGGCCTAAAGAAACGCCCATAACTCCTCGTCCATAAACGTTCTGCAAATAAGGAAGGCGGGTTTGGATTTAGCGTTTTGAACGCTTCAATATGGTATACAGCTCATTTAGAAAGGCAACTTCGACTAAACAAGCTTTCCTTGTCAAAGCAAAGAAGTCAATTGGGCTCAATTTACTCCTAAAAAGTCTGCGAGGTTTAAGCTATCAACTCACATGGATATCACTCCTAAAAATGTTTATGAGGATAAGTTAATGGGGTGTGCCACAACCTCAGGAAAGCTGTGGCTGCCACACCTTTCTAGGGGGCTGTGTCACAGCTGAGCTCGGCTCTCAGAGCTCGGCCGTATTGGCTCCTGCTGGATTGCTCGAGCAAACCGAAAAAAATCTTAGCTGCTTCGTCTAGCTCGTGAAGACAATGGAACATGCACAATTTATATACAATAATTCCTTGATCTTTCGTCCAGCTCGAGCGATCCAACATGAGCGAACAAGGCTGAGCCGAGGTCCTATCCTGACCGACATGCGGTTCATTTACGGCCGGGTCGAATGTCCAATCACGGCCGACCCGCGGGAGCTACTGCCCGGTCGGAACTGGGTGTGCGAGGGTGAATGAATGGCCCTCGGACCCTACTCATATGACAGATACGAGACTATGTAGAAGTTTCTAGGTTTTTCGAAGGAGATGGAGAAAGTGTAACAAAAGTTATGTCACGACTCAATATGTAGCAATATGAGTCACGTTCTTATCTATTCCTCCATAAAATTTCTGCAATGTCTGGGGTATTCACACCAGCCACATTGCAGAAACTTCATAGAGGAATAGTTAGATTGCTGGAAGTGACTCATATTGCTACAAATTGAGTCGTGACATGAGTTTGCACTTTCTCTATCCTCGACATAGTCTCGTACCTGTCATACGTGAGGAAGGGCGCAAGGACTTCACTAGCATCGTTTTTACCCTCGAACATGAGTTACATACACTAACTTAAAGGCAACTCGTTAAAGAGATTACAATTACAGTTTCTTCTTTTCTCAGTAATGCTATCGCATTCTTTTACATCTTTTTGAATTTTTATGGATTTTTGGAAGCACTATCAATGCAGAGGTAATTTGGAGATATGCTTGTTTTCTCGCATGTTGGAGTGTTGTCATAATGCAGAATTAGAAGTGCATATCGAAAAGCTACGGCCGTCTACATAAATATAAAAGTGAGGATCTCGATTTTGATTTGTTGGAGATACCATGTACACCGCTCATAATTTGTGGGAGAAATTAGCACACTCACGCCTGAGTTCTCATCACTTCGTGTTGCATTACCATATTTATTTTATAGTGGACAATTTTCTGAATCCAGAGGCACTATTTGACTCCTCATTGAAGTGCACCTTCTAATATTTCGAGATGCCTCTTTGGACACGATAGTCGGTTACTTGTAAACCTCAGCTGATCAATTTTCAACTAATTTGTCCTTCTGCTTGTAGGATTGTAATCCGCCTGCAAAATGGTTATTCACATTTGTTAATGATCAAAAATAATCATTCTGACTTTGTGCAAATGCAAATTACTGTAATTTTTTTAGGTTTGTGCTCGTCATCACTTACTTTTTTTAAAATAAATTCTTGCAATATTGTAAAGGAAACAATCACTTTATAATTTCTTTAGTGGCTAAGCTTACGTTACTTTCATTTGCTAAAGATTTCTAGCACGCTTCATCAAAAAAATTCTTGACCACCTTTGCAAATGGTAGATATATTTAGTTCTTAGAGATAGAGTGACCGGAGCATAGCAGGATTTTGTTGACCGATACGAACTTGTTTTACCTTAACCGTAAAGCAAATTTCTGAATTATAAAGCAATATTTTGGGGGACGTGGCTGCCGCCTAGATTTTTCAAAATTCTGGATGGCTCCCAAGAATTTTTTGGAAGATGTGACTACCGCCACTCTTCTTGATTCAGTGAGAAAAACTCCCCCCCCCCCCCCCAAAAGTGATTTTCTCGGACTTCCACTGGTGTATACGATTTGTTTCTTTATACGAACTATAGCGCGAAAGCCTATAAATGACAAACTTGATAGTTGCCAATAATGTTGACAAGCTCTGGAAAAAAAGTGAAAAACTGTATTTCGCACAAAGATTTTTCAACATTTTGTTTTGCCACTCACTCTGTGTAAGAGATATGTTTAGGCAGATATCAAAGCTTGAGATAGAACTCTGGATGAAAATGAAGCCGTGCTCAGAATGTGGTGACTAGAGGGTTTTTGCGCCACCGCCTTGCGCCGAAACTTATGAAGTGTTTTGAAGTGTGTGCAAGAATATTAAAGAAAGATTCAATGCAATCACAAATATTGCAATGTGACAGTGGTAAACTAATGAGCATTATCAATTAGCATTACGTATTTCATACAGACTCTTTTGATCGTGTAGTACTCTTCGCAGTTGGGCTGACCCACATAACTAGAGTGGTGGCTCCTGTTGTCGCTGATAAGCTGTCTTTGCTCTGCTCTTTTTCTCGGCGTTAGGAAGTGCTTCAGCGTTTTCTAATCGCTCTCAACTTTTCTATAGTGAGAATGAGCAATATGAGCAGTAAGAGCTTTACGACAACTAGTGTCCTACTACAATC